ACATAGCACAACAATATAAATCACTAAAACTACTGTATAAATGCTTAATACTTACACTATATGCATTTTTTCCTGCTATGTATAGGTGTTAGGGGTGTGACATCTATGGGTCACTGGTATAACCAAATATCAGCTGGGATTTCAAATGGTGGTAGGAAAAACTAAAACACCATATGATGCAAGGAGCAGTGAAGGTGTTAAAAAATAATAAACATACAAAATAAAATATTGCATCAGCTATTAAAAATTCATTTCTGATTATTAGTTGAACATCACTCTCTCAAGAGTTAAATAATTAAGCTAATAAGCCATACTTGTGACATGACCAATCATAACTAAAGATGACATTTATAACACTAATAATTGGTTTTTAGCTCCAATTCTATAAAATGGTTCCAATCAGCAGTTCACATCCCAGGATGAAAAAGTTTGAGCCACATTTACAACCAGTAAAACAGGAATAGCCTTAACTGAATTTGCATGGGGTTGATCCATTGGACTGACCCATATTGTAGAAGGAATGCTAAGTGTAATTTGAAATGTACTACAAGTATCTACACAAAATGTGGCAAACTTTTAGAAAAATATACAAATCTGTTGTATACAAAACATCAGATGTGTTATGAAAATATTTGTACTCAAAATATGTCTGTGGATTAAAATCAGACGTCAGTCTGATTCAGACTCTGACAAGTTGGAGTGCAAGGTGATGTTCATGTGAAGAATGAAGATACTTTCTTCCATCATTCAGTTTGCATATTGTTGAAATAATACTATCATGATGGAGCTAAAGCAGAAATGAATTATCAAAAAAATTTTCACCATGTTAATAAATGCACATTTCAACTACCACAGGTTATATTGTTTTCTTAAAATAAACTAATCAATATGTTTTTTATCTTTTCTTTTCATATACTGTTAAGATTGCTTGGTAGACCTACATTTACATGATGCATTAATAGTACATGTATATGTAAAAACATAAAATACACACCTATCATACTTTTTTTTTAAAAGCAAACAACAAAGCTAAAAATGATTATACATTCAAAAGTATTCAGCTATTACAACTGTGCTTAAACAAGGCTGGTGCTGCAAGTTCTTTAGGTTTGTAGTTGAATTCTGTACACCAACTGCTGATTTGTGATGTGTTACATTTACACGAATAAAGGCATAAAAAAAGTAATTACCTAAACCAGTTGCAACTTCTATAAAACTAAATTATAAACAATAATTCAAAGCCTTAAACACAAATCATATAAAAACTTTTTAAATTTTGGGGAATTTATTTCTGGTAGATAATGTCAAAATCTACATTACCTAAAGAAAACACTTACTTACCTTTGAAATTATCCTTGTCTTATTTTCTATCCTTTTCTCTACCAATTCCTTCCACCACACAGTATTATGTTTAACATCAGAGTGAAATGATTGATGGTCAGAAGCTGTTACCTGTACATGCACCTTTGAAAGTTCTTGACTAGCTGAAGCTAGAACCTGAAAAATATATATAATTTTAGCTATATGTCTACCACTCCTTTTGCAAAAAATATATGATGAATAATGAGATAAGAAATGATACATTCTTTCCAAGTAAAATTATTTTAATATGTAGAACAGTTTGATTTGAAAGAACAAGGTGTTTTTTTTTGCTATTCCAGGTAAAGAAAATAACTAATTCAAGGTAAATAACTGTTTCTAGAGTACTTGCAAAAAAGAACTGTCCCACTAGATATGGCCAGATGCATGATTCTGGCTATGTCCATGTGTTGTGACCATGGGCATAACTAAACTACTCTGCACCAGGAACACTTTAACCCTATGTGCAAAGGTGTGCGTGTGTTGGGGGGGATCAAAGTCCACATGCTATGAATTTTTACAGAGTGCCATTCAACATAGTATTATGTATTTGATGTCAGAGTTGCCTACTATTAATTTTACTCTACATTGCTGACTTATTGACAGTTCATGATAAAGAAGAGTAAATATCAGATACAGTATACAGAGATACTATAAAAAACTGTGGATATGTATTTTGGAGGTTCTATAGGTTATGCAAATGTGCATCCTGTACATACCATATCTCCTTCTACTACTAGAGCTGGCTCTAGTGTGGAGAATGTGGGGCCCAAACAAGCAATTATGTAAGCACATGTTAGTAGTGTTATGAAATGCAATAAATCTTAGGCTGAAAAGATAACATTATTGAATAATTAAACTACATAAAAGTTCTATAATAATGCAATTAATGTTCACCTTGTAATCAAAACAGGCCACTATTGTATTCTGATGCTATTATTTTTCAAATTGCTTTACAGTTTTTATAAATTTGTTTATATACATGTGTGTAGGAACTTATGAACAGGTATTTCTTTAAAGATAAGCAACAGTTCTTTCTCATTTTTCAAAAAAATTTGATATGATAATGTTTAAATAAGTTTTTAAAAGTTTAAAAGCTTGATAAATTAAATGGAATCAAGCACTCCTAGTATCAGCTTTGATATTGATTATTTATGCATTTCATTTCCTATTTCTACAAATAATCCATTAACTAAATGTATAAAAAATTGATAAAAATTTGATATTGAAGATACAAGTACCAAAGTATAGATATCAGTTAGCTTAGAGAATTATTATCATTCATGTAGTTTAAGAACTCCTTGGAAGTTTTACTGTTATCTCATTACATTAGAACAAATTAAAAATTAATTAATCTTATCAAACTCCATGTGGAAAACTATATATCTAAAATTAATGATAAAATTTATCATTAAAAGTTAAAGGCCTAGCAGGGGTTCTCTTTATCTCTAACTTTGAGTGATATATTTATTGATGATTTTGAAGATTCTAAGTTACAAAAACTTTAATAAAACCTGCAGGATATAGAAGATATGAAGAAGAAACTTTCATTGTGTAGCAATATAAAAGTGAAATTCTTAAGGATTTCTTAAACTACATGAATAATAATGATGAAGGAATTACATTCATTATGGAATTCAATGAATATGAATTAGCCTTCTTAGATGTTCTAGTTAAAGTTCAGTGCATTTCACCAACTTTTTGTTGTTAGCATAACACCACATTATAACTAACAATCCTTTAAATCAGAAACCATGCACATTTCTCACATATGCTTGGTGTGCTATTAATATATACATTCTGATTTTACAGAAACAAGCAATGAAAAAATGTACTTAAAAGCAGTAACAACAGATATAGGTTATGACCCCATAATTGTTGACAGAGCTTTCCAGAAAATGAAGACAACACATCTATAAATTAAATTACTTCATTAGTAAACCATTTTATCCTGGGATTTCAGAAAAAATTGCTAAAGCATTCCAATTAAAGGGTCACAAAATAGCATTCATTCCTCAAAACAAAATTTTCAACCATTTGAAAAACACTCAAAGATTCTAAAAAGATGTAATTTACTAAATCAGTTGTAGTTGAAGTAAAATGTACACAGGACAAATAAGAAGGAAATTAAAAATGAGACTGAAAGAACACTAGTATGACATAAAACATGGCAACACCATGTCCTCTACTTCAGCTGAACATTTCTGGAACTGTGATGGTAATTATGGCTGAATAAATGTAAATATCTTAAGAAATGCACAAACAAACAGAAAGGAACTTGGGAGAGTATTTGTATAATGAAAAACAGATGTGTGTGTATAAATAGACACAATGGACCAATCAGTGTGTCCTATTGGAATATTTATTTAACTTAAGTAATCTTTCATTTACGATTTAATTTCCTTCCCTTGTTTCCTGACCTTATTTTTAAACTGAACTCACCCATTAATGGTTGAAGCTGAATATAGACTAACACTGTACATACTAGTCCTGATGGTGGTAGCTGTGTTACCGAAACTATTTGACTGTAAATAATAATAATGGTTTTACCTTTTATTGTGTCAAAAAACGTTGGTTTTTGTTTTTTTTACACAGTCTGACAAACATTAAATGTTTGGGCCTAATTATTAAAAAGCTACTCTCTGATCTTCCGTCAGTAAATATTATGGTTATTCAGAGTTTACAATGGTTTAAAAGACCTTTTTTGAAATTAACCTTATTTTCAGTACTAATTGTTCACCAAATTTCTTATTCTAGCTATTTTAATGTCATTTTTAGTGTGTATATTATTAGTATTACTCTCCTAAACGTTTAGCCTTTATATACCATTTACAAAAACATTTTCTATGTTGTAAGATTCTTATTTTAAATCCAAGGCATTTGTACTTGTCTTTCCACTTTCTGATCAGCTCCTTATTGTCTTTCCTTTCACATATGGTTTCCATTTTGTTTTCTTGTGTTCAAATACAGTCTTTAGAAAAATAATTTCTCCATATTACATCTAATGTCACTATTACATTAGTTTCATTTATAGCTGCTATATGAAATGTCTCACATGTATTAACAGGTGTACTCTGTAGATGCATAACAAATAATACATGATCAGTAACTGGTACTGGTGAAGAAAACGTATGAAACATGTGGTTCTCCAACTGATGGTTTATTTACTCTAAAACCCATTGCTTCGTATTTAAACAAGTACAGTGAGTGAAATTTGTTCTCTTGAGACATTTTCAGAAGTGTAACTGTTTTTCTCCAAATTTTACCCGTCTTAGTATAATTAACAAATTTAATGCATCTTAATTTGGACTATAAAAAAGCTTTTTTTCTTTATTTACTACTTAGAGTTGCAAATCTATCATTATACTAATTATTTAAGGTTTATATTCTAATTATATTACATATTACAGGCTTCATCTTGTATTGAATGTTATTTAAAGTGACACTTTGTAACAATATTAAGTTGTAATTCCCTTAGTTTCTTGAGAAAATTATAATTACAAATTCATAAAAACATTCTCATTTAGATATGTACAACAACTTCCAACACTTTAAACACTTACCTGTCATCTATCTTACGATAGTTAGCCTTAACATCTGGAACTTTACTAAAAGAATTGTTTACATGTACAGTAGGAACAACTTATGTAAAGTAAGAAATTACAAGAAATATTCAATGACTAGTTTAGCATTCATTTGAGACAAAGAGTACATTATTTTTATTTTACTTTGCAAGTGACAATTAGTTGTTGAGTTAGATATTTTCTTAAATATATTAACTATACAGTGAGGTAAAATGTGACATATGGGTTAGAAAGTAGTTCTTCTTGTGAACAAGATATAAAGATGTTTAAAAACACACATACACCTCTTTCTTCAAAATTAAGTATGGCAGAATGTTTCAGCACAACTGCACACCCTAAAAAAGCAGCACTAAAAGCTAGACTGGAAATAAGCATTGGTTGTGAAATTAGTTACAATTTGATAAAACTTAATGAAGAATATCATTAGTAAATTTCACACATGTATAATTTTTAGTTTGGCAAATAACTGCATAACCTTGTGGTTATTTCCTTTCTACAAATTCTAACATTTTGTTTGTATTCAGACACTGCTTACAAAAGTAATAACTATGGGGTTTAACCATTTTTAATTTTGCTTAATTGTTTAAAATTGTTAAAAATGTGCAAGTCAAATATTGAGAACAAAAGGGTGTCTGCAAATAACAGCTGCTTAGAGGTATTTTGTTGTTTAATTGAACTTTGTCATGTAGCATCACTGTAACCAAGTGGCTGGATATTCACCTCTCAATCATCTTTGAGAGAGCAAAATAAGTAAAACCATGTCTGATCATACCTTGATAAAAAAGGGAAACCAAAGAGCAAAATGTAAGCTGTGCTCTATAGTTATAGTGGACGTACAAAAACAATGTTAAATCATACGAAAATAAATGAAAGAATTGAATTCACTGTGGAGTCCAATGAACATGATAATAAGTTAAAATTCAGTGTATTTCACAAACCTTTTGCTCTCAGCATACCACCACATTATAACTTTAACCATCAATTAAATCAGAAACTATGCACATTTTACATATATGCTTTGTGTACCATTAATATATGTTCTGATTTCACAGATACAAACAACGAACAAAAAATTACTTAAAAG